TGGGGGAGACACAAGTGGCAGGGGCAATTCATAAATTCCCCCCAAAATTAGTAATTCTGATTTGTAATTAATACAAATTGTGTAAGGTAATTGTAGAATCTTGGTTTTTGTATGACATGGTCAAATAAATCATAAAATCCTGTCTGGATCTACAAATATTTTAATGAAGTTCTATAAATGACTAATCCAGAAAAACAGAATATTCTGGATTATTTGTAAGGGTTGGCAGATATGTAATATTAGTTGAATATGACCTGAAAATTACAGATGTTTTGCTTTTCATGTAAAAAAAGTTATAGCATAACAAAGTTCATTTTGGACAATATGCAGTTTAGTTCCCTGATAATACATTTAATATGAGTCATCATTGCCGCATACCGTATGTGTCAAGTTTGCAACTGAAACGTGAATGATTAATTACATTCTTCCCTTTTTCTATAAATGACTAAACAGAGTTGTTAGCAACATCAGAGAGACAGGAAATCAAACATTACAAGTACATTTCAACTAATAGAATGATGAAGAAACTATCAGAAACTTCCTAACCAGCTTGAACCTTTTGGTATGAGGTAGGAATTTCAGTTGCACGTTCGAGGATGTAGTAAGTTTTGCTAACTCAAATCAGAATATTTTTACTCTTAGCAAACTTTTGGATTATTGATAAAATATTATCTAGCAGCTTATTACAGAATTTCCATATGTAATCATCTGGCATCACTATGGAGCAATCCTGAAGATTCTTCTCAATGACTCTGTATTAAAACATTACCTGATGTAAATATAAGAGAAAGTGAGCCAATAAATATATAGTTTCTTATACTAGTTCCACTTTAACACTTGTAGATTAGAATAAACCTTAATATAATGTAGCATAAATTTTGTTCCATCTTGTGTTTTAGATCACAACACTTAAATCGGATTTGCAACCTTTTGTGATGACTTTACATGTTTATTACATCCAATGCTCCTGTTAATCCAATACTAATATACCTATTACCCCCATCTCAATGTTGTTTTATAATTGATATAGGTATAAGAGGGTGACATTGACTAAAGCAACCTCATACTAGATGAATTTCAGAATTCCTGGGTCTGTCTTTTAAGATCTTACAAGAATTACAAGAAAGAGTGAAAGTTTGCCTGCTAATGTAAAGTAACATTTCAAAGTTAGGTTTATATGAAATATAAATACAGTGCAACTATTATTCAAATGATACACCCCTCTATATTATAGGTTCCTACAGCAAGATGAGTAACCAGCCAAGAAAACGTGTGGCAGATAGTGCCATGTCCATGAAGCATGTGCCTGCTAAGAAGTCTTCCAAAGATATGAGCACTGACTACACAAAATGCATCATATGCCAACAAGAATCTGTGATAAGCCTATTCTTCATCCAGTTACGTGTGTAACAACATATATGAACAAATTTAAGGCTCTTCGCATTCTGGTCGGTCAAAGTTAAACCCTTATGATGTTGTAGATGAGCTGGAAGCTCCTCTTTTCCAGCTCCTGGTCTGTCCACATTCCTCATAGAATCATCCGCGTAAGGTACCGAGACATTCTCGAGGAGCTTGGTGTCGATAAAGGAGATAAATACCGGGCGACCATCTTGAAACATACATTACATGAATACTATGGGTCACATATTTTGGTTCTCAATCAAACCAAAGGTTCAGGATTTATATGTGCTTCCACATTACCACTTGGTGACGCACTGAAAAAACTGAGGCGCCTAGAAGGAGATGATATCGAGGGAAAACACCATACACTCCTGCAAGCATCAAAGATTCTTAGAGCAGATTGTGAAGTGTAAGAAAGAGATGTGTGAGAAAAATTCAACTGAAATTTCATTCACATCTGCATACAATATGGTTCCAGACTCACTCACTCTTCAGATGGCTATGCAGACTGAGGACGTTCTGCTTATGTGGCGCCTCGGTAGAATGATCACAACTTCGCAACTGGTGGATGCTCCTAGAGTTTTAGAAGCAGGACTTCCGGGCTTTTCCTCATTCCGTGCTGACCTCCATCCACATAGACAGGCTAGAATCATTGGCTATCTTCCTCTGATCCAATCTTCTCCAACTGACCCTACTGTACTAAAGGAAATGATGATTTGACTTGTCAGGACATCACATGCACGTGGTAACAAATACACAATTATAACTGGAGATCAGGCTACATATGAGCTCGCTGTAGCCATCAGAGACAAGCATCGTAGTGAGTCCAGCAATGTGGTCTTACTGCTGGGTGGCTTTCATCAAGCTCACAACTACATGAAAGCAGTTTGCAGATCTTTAGGGCGGCAGGTGCAGAAGATTTTCTTGTTGCAGCTGGTCTGTGCCAGGAAGGGGCTGCCAAGAAGATGTTTGGTGATAAAGCCGACTACTACCAGGCCATACATGCCCTCAGAATCCTGAGTGAAACTATGTGGCGCCTCTACTAGGAAGCATTCTAGACATGATGGGCAGCAGACAGATAAACAGATCACTAGCAGTCTGAGGTGGAATCTGTCTTGAAAATACTCTATGAAAAAGACATCACTGCCACTGAAAAGTTGCAAATGCTTCAGAATTCCCATGAACAGTTATAAACCCTTCAGGAACTTTTCCCAGAATCAATGGTTGATCAACCAACAGCAATCTTCTGGTCCACCTTCCTAATGTTCTGCATAGATTTAACTACTACCAGCAAGAAGCTGACTGGGTAGGACATGTCTGTGAATCATATTGAATGATACCTTACCTCAAAGCAGCAGGGCATTACAAATATGGGCAGCAGTCTCTGCCTCTCTATCTTGATGAGATGAAAAATCTTCCTAAAACAGCCCCTGATGTACATGAAGCACTTATGGCGGGTGCATTTGTTGCAAGGAGAGCAGATGGCAAGCACAATTGTGTTTCTCCTGACGTGCTTCTTGAACAGACAAATGCAGATGCCAAGTAAAGAAGAAAGCGGTCATGACGGAATTACACCTAACCCCGCCGCATGGATAAAATGGGTTTAAACAATTAAAACCCATCACATCTGTCTCTGCACAGTAAATATTGATGCTGCATCTTCTTTCACCCAGCCCTAACAATGAATCTGGTGTATGTCGAGTAACAAGGGACACAGAGATGGTCATCAAGGTAATGGTAGCAGTCGAGACGGATCCATCCAGTGCAACTACAACATCCCTGATAAATGTGTCAACTGGGCAATGTGCTGATTGCACAGTTTAGGACAACTTGAGCAGTGTTGAACGAATAGGCGTGGAGGCACTGTCTCAATCACTGTCCAGTCTTCAGAAGAAGACAAGTATTATGAAGCTGAACACGTTCCACACACAAAACAAGAAGCAAAAGAAGTCTGGGCCCACAAGAGCTAAATCAGGGAAGAGTGATGAAGTAACTGCTCTTCTGCGTATGACACAGATCATTGCTAGTGATGGAGAACTAGAGATTGTTGACTTGGTGAGAACCCCAAGGCAAGGGCCATCACTGACGTTGTATCCAGAGAACTAATCAAGGAGGTATCAGGGCCATCACAACATATATTAACACCTCAGCAAGTGATGACTTCAAGGAGTCTGATCTGGGCAATCTCAGAGCATACAAGTTTTTGAACAACAGATCTATACTCTCCGAAGGCTCCTCCCCCCCCCCCCCCCAAACAGGAGACGCATTTTTTCTTCATGTAAAGAGAGCTGCATGCCCTTGCAACGATGATGAATAAGAGAGCACACATTGCCAAGCCTAAAACCCCACCCTGTACAGAATTTGGGTGGAATCTGGATGATCAGCACGTGCTTCCTGTTCGAAGTACCCATCAAGCCTGGCCCGTTTCAATGAAGAAGGCTATATCATGCGGATGTACTGAAGGGTGCAAGAAGAACTGCTCATGTGCTAAGAAGGAAATACCGTGCTACATAGGGTGCCGCTGCCAAGGACTATCAAGCAAATTTAGCAGGATGCAGGACATCGAATACGACATCAGAGCAGCGAAAATCAGTGACAGTAGCAGCGACTCAGACAGTGATTAGGAAAGAAAAACAGTAATATCAGAAATAAAGAATATAGGTAGTTGCTTTAAAAGTAAATAACTATGATGTACCAGGAAATCAAGTTTGTCGACAAATTGAATAACATTCTTAAAGTGCAAGTTCATCTCTTATTTTCATCTCAATTCCCTTTTCAATTAGATATCATCATCATCAGCCATATTTCTATTTACATTTAAGCAGGTATGTGCACTGTGATTTTAGCCAAAAAAAGCCGTTGGCATGTGAGTGGCAACTTTAAAAATAAATGTCATATTTGATTCATATTACTTTAGAACATTCTCCAAATTGATTCTTTGACTTCACAAACTTTGGTCCGGAATCCAATATACACTACAGACGGTTGTATAGTCAAAACTAAATTGTAAAAAGAAACCCTGACATGATGCAGAAATTTTAAATTGAGGTTAATGCAACATGTCATGAAAGTAAAATCAGAAAGAAGTTAAGTGAACACTAAATATAATTCCAGACTTGGCAATAAAAACCTTTTCTGATAGGCTTTAAATTATTTGAACACTTTGCATGTATTGACTCCCAATGTGCATTTCCCATTCAATACTCAAGTTTATTATGGTTTATCCCTAAATCAAACATTCAGGGGCAGCAATATCTTGTCATGGCAGGAATTGGGGGGGGGGGATATTTAAGGAAGTTTGGCAACTGAAGGGGGAAGGTTTACCCCCCCCCCCTCTCCCACTACAATTTTGTATTTTGTTGTGAGAAAATTTTGCAACATCCTCATGTAAATCTTACTGGGAGGATGCAAAGTGACAGAATGACAAAAACAATACACATTTTAGTTTTTAACTTTTAAATTCCTGACCCAACTTAATTTTTTTTTCTACAACTGTAATCACAGTGATTTTTCAAATTTTCAAGCGATTGATGTTCTGTGTCTTGACAAAGCGCCCCATTAGGCTAGACTACAGCATTACAATGTGTTTTTTCACTCACCTTGGACTTGTTTCCTTCTTTAGCAAGAACTGCATAGAAGTCACTGTGCAAGGCAGCTTGACGTAGTGTAACATCCTTTAGAGAGGGCACAGAGCATATAATCTCCCCCATATCATGTGATATAATTGGTCCAAATTCTCCATTTACTCCAAGATCGATCTAAATCAAAAGCAAAAACAAAAACAAAACAAATGAAAAATTAAAATATGAGAAAGTCAGAGTCCATTGATAAAGTTTAAGACCACCTCAAATTTTGTTAATGCTTCTGTCACTCAGCCTGCATTAAGAATGTGTCATTGAATGATTACAGAATGTGAACTTAATACAGTGGTCGATATCATCAGAGTAGTGCTACGAAACCTATATGATCCCAAATTTATTTGCAAAGGAAGGCCTGGTATAACATTTTATCTGCAATGCAGCATGGTAAAGAAAGGCCATTTTTAAAGGGCCCTAAATTATTCCCTCCATCAAAATTAAGGGTTACTCTGAAGTCTGAGCATCAAATTATCAAGAGGACTGGTTGCAGCAAAACTGTTTTTGTAGAATGCCATTTCAAGAAGATGGCTTATATTCTGACCAGAAAAGGATTGGTAGTCTAATCAAACTTATTCAAATAGTACTGTTGATATTTACCATATGCCTATAAGTCTATAACAGTGACGGGTATATAAAATGATACTGCCCTAGTATTATCTTAATGCCCGAGCTGGAGATGAGAGCAATATGTTTCATATCAACCCCCCCCCCCCCTCCCCACTAAAAAGAAAAAACAAACAAAAAAATAGCCAGTCAATAATTATCATTAGTATATATCTGCTTAAAAACATTATTAGTGTCAAAAATTGTATAAAAGACATCTCCTTGAAGACATGTACAAATTTGTTATTAATGTTTCCTTCTCTTCTCTTTCTTTCTCTCCTAAATGTTATTTTGTGTATGAATTATTTGATACTTTCTCAATTGATTTTGTACAGTGCTCGATCTTTATGTCCATGCCACTTTTATTAAACAAATAATCTGTCATTGATTTTATATATGTTGTTTAAAAAATAAAATAAAACTATTATGACTTGATTATATCACAGAAAAATTAGGTATAAGGTCATAGATAATAGAGAGGGGTAAATAGGCATATTAAAATTACTTGGAGTACTGTTAAAAATGATCTGAAATGGTTATGCCATGTGAATGAAGTGAGCAAGCACAAGACTACACATGCTCAGAATTTTAAACAGATTCAAACTTCAAGCAAATGATCTGTTATGTGTCTATCTGTTCTTACATGAATGTTCGTCCCATGGTAGATTATTGTGCCCCTGTTTGGCACTCTGGGCTAACTGAAAACCAAAGTAATCAGATTGAAATAATCCCAAAATGAGCATGCCGCCTTAACCATACTGTACTTACCAACATGCTCTCAAAGAATTGGAACTGCCCACTCTCAATGAATGACGAGAGAAACTAGCATTTAGTCTGTTCAAAAGATTGACCAGCCCATCATCAAACTTTCAACACTGGCTTCCTCCCTTGCAATCAACTTTACATGTTCAATTATTGCGAAATGGCCAAACATATTCCGAAGTCTTTTGTAAAACGGAGCACTACAAAATAAGTGCTCTCCTCTACCTCATCATAGGCTCTTGAATTTAAATTTAAAGTAAAGGAGGGGGGGGGGGAGGGAGCCATAAATAAATCTGTTGTGCAATATACTTAGGTAAAACTACCAGCAAAATCCCATTATCCTCAGTTTAATGCGTTTATCATGTCATTATTGTCAATTATGTAGTGTTAATTAGATTATTATACCATATGTACAATTTTTCCATTCAAGCCCTTCAAAAAAAATTGATGCAATTTATCAATATTGACCGATTTGACGATTGTAATTATGCAATAGTTTTTACTCTTTTTAATACTCATACCATTGATTAGATTTATATATTCTTTTGAATTTATCCTAAATACTTTAAACCTTGAATTAAACCAAATATATGTAACCAAATTAACAATTTATCTGCCGACAACCCACTGGCAAGAGGGAGAGAGAGGGAGAGAGAGAGAGAGAGAGAATGGGGGGAGAGGGGGAAGAAGAGCATAGATAGAATGGTGGGATCGATTGATCAAAAGTGCAATTTTCTTCTCTCCATGAATTCTGTTTCGATCATGACTTATATATGTTCTGTTTTTGTTTTCTTAAATTATTCAATCTACATATTTAATCTGGCTTTTGGATATTCTTACAATGTTTAGTATTGTGTTTTATGTAATTTCAAAACATGCTTGTAAAGTGTGCACAATTCACCCATTAGCTGCTACGTAATCATATTTTGTTTAATACCATGAATAAATGAATAAATAAAAAAAAATAATTAAATAAATTAAATCAATCTAATCAATGGTAAATTAAATAGCCATTCCTTAGAAAAAAATGTATGTCTGTAGATGCCTGTTGGGTTTGCAATTGAAGGGGAAGTCCACCCTGATATTAAGATGGTTTTACTAAAAGTAGGAAAAGGAGAGAAACAAATTATTGAAAGTTTGAGCAATACTCAATTAGAATAGGAACATTTTGAATCTTAAATCATTTTAATAATTTTTTGCTCAAACTGTCACTGACCTGTTTTTCTCATTTTCTGCTTCTATTCAAACCAACTTAATATCAGGGTGGACATCCCCTTTAAATTATAATACTTATTAGTGTATGTAAGATTTTGAACTTACCACATCTTTATATACACCTAGCCCAGTGAATACATAACCTGCCATGGTGTGTGCTGTCATGGATGAGTCTATTGACAGAGATGACATTTGACCCCTCGCCAAGGCTGCAGTATCTAGGTCCTGACTCTCAAAGGATACATCAACCAACAAATCTCCATCTGAGTAGTGTTGGATGTCACCCTGTAACATGCATTTCATGACATGGTTTGCAACGGTTTTGTCCCGTGACACGGTGAAGTACAGGAGATACCTAAACTCTTTGTTCCTAGGCAGCACTACTTGCTCAATCAGCCTGTTGAATTCATTGGGATCTAATTCATACAGGGAAGCAAGGTGAGCCCCAGCCATGTACTCCTGAAAGAGTTTGTGTGGAAAGAAGATATTAGACTGCAGGAACATACTGCTCTTATCATATATAGATGACAATTTTTTCTCCTGAGACAACACCCCTACTCTACAAGCTGTTTCAATGGAGTCTGAGCACTGTTCAAAATCACCTTCTTTGAAACTGAGGGTGTTTTCTTGTAGCCCGGTGAAAGCAACTTTGGCAACTGGTTCCATGAGCTTCTCAATTTGAGAGCGTAAGGTTTGGAAATCTTGGCTGTCTAAATCTGTGATCTCTTTCTGAGCATAATGCACCTTCAAGAATTCAAACATTTCATCAAATATTTGAGAAAAAGTTTGTAATGACTTCAACTTTTCTTGTTTTTCGTCACCAAGTTCTCTCCACATAAGACAGAGCATAGCTATGTAGATAGGATACGGGGCCATATTCTCAGATATGATGACATTGTCTTTGGTTAATTGGATAAGCTGATCTGCTTTGGCCCCATCATCTTGAAAGTACTTGTGAATGTACACCTCCACATTCTCCTTACTAAACCCTTCTACAAACATGAAAGTGTACAGTTTCCGTAGACTATGGTCCCATCTAATCTCTTCGACCTTCCATGGGCGACTTGTCACAAACACCGGGCAAGCAGCAAGCTCATCTGAACTAAGTATGTCTCTAAGTGCAATGCCACCTCTCTCTGAAGCACTTCCACTTGCCTCTGCACTGTGGACTCTTGGCTGCAAAGTGTCACTTGTTAGTTTTGATGACTTTGGCTGGTGACATTCTGACTTTGTACCAGCTTTCATTTGCTGTACAACCTTGCCATCAAGCTCATCTAATCCATCAAATGCAATGAATACATCTTTTGGATTTGAACGGATGTACTCAGTGATCTGGCAGGCTGTTGCTGGGTTGTCCTTGGAGAGATACAACTTGACAATCTCACCGATCGTGTATTGTTTGGCTTCACGAAAAGAGATAACAAGTACCCACGAGAACTTTGGGAGAACAGGATTTTCAGTTATCCAGTCCCAGGCAATCTTAGAACAGAATGTTGTCTTTCCAGCCCCAGCCTCTCCCTGAATCATGATCCGCTTGGGAAACTCTCCATTGACTTTGTGATTAAAGAGATCCCTGTACGTAAGTGGTCGCTTGCCTTTACGATATTCCTCTTCCAGGACAAGGTTAACAAACATGTCGTCAAATTGCACAATGGAATCAGGGTCGAGAGGATCAGCTCTGATCTTACAGAAAGTTGTCCGGTATTTGGATTTCAAATCATCTGCACATTTCTTGATCAGGTCAGGAGAAAGTGGTTGAGTCTGTGATCCTGACATCGTAGCAGGTGCACCTATAAATTTAAGAACAGAAGTGTGAAAACTTTTCTGTCAATCAAAATGTTTCATTTGAGGATAACATACACATGATGCCAAGGGGTCAAAACCCCATTTTGGGGGCTTTTGAGACATGGCATGTTGTAAAATGTCGTTTGGTCTCAACGTGTGCGGGGGACCGCCCTGCACAATTTCTAGGTGGACTACCTTTGCAATTTGCTACGGGAAAAAAATGGTGGCTTTTTTTCAAAATGGCCGCCATGTATAACTAGTGTTGTACAATTTGGGGGATTACTTTTTAACAGTACCTTTTCCACCATGTGTAAGGTGTCATATGAAAGAAAATTAAATTTCCTACAAGATGATACCTCATTCAATAGGTTTGGGGATGATTTGCATTATAATTTTGAGCCAAAAATGTAAGTTTTTACAATTTTTTCAGAAATATGAATTGTGCCAAAATACATATTTCTCCATATTTAATTGATTATAATGCTAACTGACTTGATACTTGCTGACAAACTGTTCAGAAACATGGTTGATATCATATGCAAATCGCAAGTCTATTGCTTTTATAACTAAAAAGTTATAGTGCTCTAAAGTTGACATTTTGATTTGAGCCAAAATGGCAAATTTGGTTGCTAAGGGCTGTCTTCTCCTTAGCAACGGTAACATAGTGATGTGAAAAACAGAATATATCGCGAGAAGAAGCTATTACTGAGCAGATGACTACTGTGATAGGAATTATGATGTCAGATGATGCATTTTCATCATATTTTAATGATATATATCGCTTAGTTCCCGTTGCTATGGTGATAATATGCTTAGCAACCAATATATAATGAGTTCTCAGAGTCAAATAAGGATATAGATCAGATAATACATAAAATTAGACCTGTTGCAAGTGGCAGACATAATTTTCCATCCTAAACATGTTCATAGTGCATGGTTTGGTTCAGAACTTTCAACCCCCCCCCCCCCCCCCATCCTACCCCCATCAAAAGTAATTTTGGGATGGGACAGTATGTTGTGTAGGACATGATGTGTGTTAAAAAATGATGCAGGATTTCTGTCAAGTGATATATCAAATGAGATCTGGATCCAGGTGATAGTCATGATTTTCAGTCTGAATCATGAAGATAATGGGTGGTAGGGTTCAGAATGTGCACCCTTCCCTTCATCTGTGACCCTCCCCCCTCGCCTAGAATAAAATTAGAGCAATTAGTGCGCAGCTATATTAATAAAGTAAGTGGCAAATGAAAAAGAGATAAAATAATCTTCACGCAGCATTTGCAATCTCTTGGTAGGCTATAATAGTTCATTTATCTGTCTGTGTCAGTGGGTTATACTTCTTGCTGCGCCACCCCCTCCATAGTTTTCATCTCAAAACTTTGGCATAATCCAATCGATACAAAGCTATTAGAAAAAACTGGACGCTTTAGTTCAAAACTTGTACTGCCGTTTCATTTTTTGGTAGATTGAAAGACATTGACGAAAGTCATCAGAACCTGCAATTCAAACGCCACTACCGTTCATGTCAATACCCCTCCCCGGCCCACCTCTTCATACTCTCAAAATGAATGAGAGAAACTGATGCAAAGCATCATTTATTTAAAAGTACACTTAATTTTATAATTTTATAAATAGATCATGAAGAATCAAATGATACAGGGAAAAGCTTGAAATTATTCACTCTTCTCTTTCCTTCTAAAATTCTAAATAAATCTAGATAAATAAATCATGAATCAAAATCTAATCTCCAGTTTTGTGACAGAAACTGATTATCAGGACATTACCAAATAATACGAGACTCAACAGGATTTACACTCTGAAACATTTCCATGTACATACTTAGTTTTGGTTTGCATAGCTTGCACCCCCCCCCCACCCCTTCTGTGTCGCAAGCCCATCCAACCTCCTCTAGTGCCAGGTACAATATAATTTTGAAAAATCGGTGTTAATCGTTTATGCCTAGATTGTTAAAGGCAAGTATATATGCCAACATTATATCCTTCTTGCTTCCCTCTTTTTCTAAAGTTTGACAAAAGTCAAAATAACCTGAGAGTTGGATTCATAATACAGCAGGGTGTAAACGATTTAAGAGATTTGTAATAATCAGGGGCTTATAAGGGGAAAGGGGCCAATGTGCAAGTTATACACACAAACAAAGTTTTTTAAAAATCAAATGAGGAAATAGTGAGGAGGCTTAGCAGAGAAAGCATTTACCGGTAGTTTCAACTAATTTGGTGAGGTTACAATTTGGTAGGTAATGATGTAACATAACATACATCCTTTATGAATAACTTAAAGTCTTTGAGCATTCCTTCTGATTTGTTGAAACTGAACCCTTATGAGCATAATGATGCTGCATTCAGGCGGCTTTTGGATGAGCTGGAAGCTCCTTTCATTTTTTACCTGATATGTATCACTCCGTGACCAAGAAAATTGTTAAATGACTTAATGTAGATATGACAGCTTAATACCGGACGACTATACACTAAAACGGGAGTTCCAGAGTATATCAGTCCTAGATCAGAGACGTGGTTTAAAACTTATATGTGATTATGCACAGATCACACCCACACCACCAATGATGGCTAGAGCGCCTAATGGAGGAGATAATATCAAACTCCTCACACTCTTATAAGAACCAAAGATTTGTGCGAACACATTGTGAAAAATCGAAGATGGAAATCAATGAAAAAATTTCAACTGAGATTTCCCTCACACAACTGCCCCAATACAACAATGGCCTGATACCACAATAAAGTGGCGCCTAGAGCAATCAATGCAACTGCGCCCCCACCCCATTGCCCAAACTTATCTACATGTACGTAACTGCACAAGCAAGTGAGTAAGGCGACAGGCTTAGGAATTTTGCAAGGGAGCAAAGTGATCAAAGTGGTTTTCTATTCATTTCTACTTAAATGATGAACAAAATTAACGAACACTTCAGTCGAGGAATATAGCAAGGTAACCCAAAGATAAGATTTTTTTAAGAGTTGAAGTTTGTTCAAAGGTTGAAAGATGATTTTCTTTTGAGAAAGTTGAATCCCATTGTAAACATTCAGTTATTTAGGGTGCAATATCTCACAAGAGGCTGGTGAAACTTAAAAAAGGGGGCAAAGCAATGGGAATTACTTTTTGGTGTCAAATTTGGAATTTGGAACCACAAATTCACCTATTGAAGACAAACAGGGGAGGCTTCTTAACAGAAGCAGAACAGGAAGCTAGATGGGCCGAGCACTTTAACGAGGTATTGAATAGACCACCACCGACAGTAGAGGCTGACATACAAGAGGCAGAGGTGGACTTGGACGTCAGCAGCATACCACCAACTAAAGAAGAAGTAATAGCTGCAATTAAATCACTAAAAAATGGTAAAGCCCCTGGCTCTGACAATCTCAACGCAGAACTTTTTAAGGCGGACCCAGAATTAGCAGCAAAAATTCTTTTGCCACTCTTCACAGCTATATGGGAAAGGAAGGCAGTTCCTGGCGAATGGTCAGAGGGAGTTATCATAAAATTACCAAAGAAGGGATCCCGAAAAAACTGCAATAACTGGCGTGGCATCACTCTATTGTCAATACCAAGCAAAATATTGGCAAAGATAATTATTACACGTATCATAGATGCTGTTGACCAAAATCTCAGAAGGGAACAGGCAGGTTTTCGGAAGGGAAAAGGGTGCACTGACCAGATATTTGCACTTCGTAACATCATAGAGCAATGCACAGAATGGCAGAGGAAACTTTATATTAATTTTGTTGACTTTGAAAAAGCATTCGATAGCATCCACCGAGACAGCCTTTGGAAAATACTACGCAAATATGGGATACCAGAGCAGCTAGTTCTTGTAATTAAGAGCTTTTACACCAATTTCACATGCAGAGTTGGAAACAGTAACCATAAGTTCCAAGTGAAGACTGGAGTTAGGCAAGGGTGTGTCATGTCGGCACTGCTCTTCAATATCGCCATAGACTGGGTGATGAGACAGGCAACTGAAGACCAAAAAAGAGGCATAAGATGGACCCTCTTTTCTACACTTGAGGACCTCGACTTTGCAGATGATCTCGCTCTACTTTCACACACCCACCAGCATATGCAGGAAAAAACATCCAGACTCAGTGATTTTGCCCAGCAAATTGGCTTGAAGATCAGCCAAAAGAAAACAGAGGTGATGACCCTGAACATCTCGGATCCTTTACCAATTCAAGCAAACGGGGAAGACCTACCTATAACTGAGGAGTTTACTTACCTGGGCAGCACTGTCAGGCACGATGGAGGCGCAGGTAAAGACATTAAGAACCGTCTGAATAAAGCCAGAAATGCACTCAGAATGCTCAATAATATATGGAGATCGCAGCAGTACAGCACCAAGACCAAGCTAAAATTGTACCAGAGCTGTGTCCTTTCCACTCTCCTGTATGTCTCTGAATGTTGGAGAATGACTAAAAACGACCTCAGCAAGCTATCAGTCTTCCACACAAAGAGTCTTAGAAGAATATGCCGCATTTTCTGGCCAAACACCATCTCAAATGAAGCACTGTATGCCCAATGCCATCAAGACAGCATGGAGGGCATCATCACGAGAAGAAGGTGGAGATGGATCGGGCATGTAATGAGAAAGGACAGAGATGACATCACACGAACAGCCCTCCACTGGACACCAGAAGGCAAAAGAAAGAGGGGACGTCCTAAAACCACTTGGCGAAGAACTGTGGAAGGAGAGATTAAAGACCTGAACCACACATGGGATACAATCCAAAGACTGGCCCAGGATCGGAAGGAGTGGAAGACTTTTGTTGCTGCCCTATGTGCCAGGAGGCATAATGGGCAGTAAGTAAGTCAAATTTGGAGCTATTTAAAAAGTGTTAATTATAAACTAGGCCCTATATCTATATTTGTATGCAAAATTATGAGACCCGTGCAACCTACTAATGCGAGCCAAGACCGAGCTTTAACAAAAATTATATTTCTAAGGCATTTAGCCTCTCATATTGGGGCACATGTATTC